TAAATAAATAAATAAATATATATATATATATATATATACACAGGGTGTTCCAAAATTTTTTACCAAGCGCTCTTGTGTAAATAGAGCGGACTGAGTCGAAAATCCTCTACCATTTTGTAATTTTCTCAATGATTAACATGCCTGTTGTTATGCACGTCAGATAAATCATTGACGAAAAAGGATAAAAAAAATGAGGAAGAATATAAAGAATGAATTCTTTATATTCTTCGTCATTTTTTAAAATCCTTTTTCGTCAATAATTTATCTGACGCGCATGACAACCGGCATTAATAATGAAATGGAGTGTCTTGAGCGTAACATTTGCTTCGCTTATGCACTTTAAAATGAGACGATCCCGCGAATTACGATGAGAAATGATGGAATCGAAGAGAGATCCTTGATTTAAATTTTACTTGTAGCTTCACCCGTGTCATCGCCGGACAGTGATTTATAAAAAGTAAGAAGATCAGTTGACAGCGATAATTTTTCAACGAGTTTGGGGAAACATTCGATATCCATTAAGTGAGTGCGGCACTTACTCGACCCCTTTTTCACTTTCGTTGATAACCTTGGTCCGCGTGAGCGTGTGGTTAAATAATAAAAAAATCATGTAACCTTAATCGGTGAGCTCAAATATTCTGTCGAGGATCGTACACGCAGGATCTTTTCTTCGTTTTGTCGAAAACATCCGTTTAAAGCCGACAGTACACTCCGTTCATTTCGATTTGATTTCGTGATTTATTGCAATTAGATTACTGTAGGCATCAATTTTTTAAAAATTGCATCCTTAATAAATTGCATCCTTAATAAATTGCTTAATAAGTATTGTAATGTGAAATAGATTTAATTTAATGTATATATAAAAAATATTTCAAGACAACATGAGTTTCTTGCATTTATAGAGAGAGAAAGAGAATCGATGACTTGTTTTAAATGCTGATAAAAGACTATGTTAAATTTACCAACAATTTATCCCGGTAATTACTTGAACTTGTATAGGCATGACCTCTTTTAATGTAGCAAAGTGTAATTTAATGTAAAAATAAAATGAAGATAAAACATTGTATTAATCTGATTGAATTAATCTGACATGGGTGCGCAATGTACTGCTCGTTTAATTCATCAATTTAAACATAAGGTACTCCAGTCACGATGTAGTTGCAGTTACCGCAAGTGCTACGTGCTTTGCAAATCGAGTGTTAATGTCGTTAATAGCGACGCAATTTCGCGCATCGCGTTAAATGGCCCTGCGTAATTAGTTATGCCTTATGATAAATTGGCACAATCGAGTGAGAGGAGCGATTATTTTCTACAGCTGTATTTATCATTGAATATATCATGTTTCACTTCATTTCTCAAATTTCCATTTAATGAGGAATCAAATAATAATAAAAATTCAATGAAACCTGACATTTTTTTTACCTCTTATCAATTTTCCGCAAAAGTACCTGATAGGTAAGCGATAAACTGTCAAAGTCAGAGACGGCAATTAGAATGATCTACAATGGATCAGTGTAGGACGTGTCGCGACTCGGTTCTCGCCCGCGGCGATTCGCCTGTTCGCTCGGATTCCGGACCGGTCTCTCTGTCAAAAGTGGACCGGTCTTTTGTGCGTACGTAATACAGGGCGCGATTACGAGGTGCCGCATGGTGACATTGGGCGCGGTTCTTTGACGGCCGCGGCTGCAGTCGCGTTTTCTGTTCGGTGAAAGTCGATTCGCGAATGCGAGCCACTCTCTTTCTCATTCCTTCTTCGTTTCGCTGCACTTTGTCTTGTACGACTTGGAGAGATAAACAGAGAGAAAGAGAAAGAGAAAGAGAGAGGGAAGAGAGAGAGAGAGAGAGAGAGAGAGAGAGAGAGAGAGAGAACGATGCCGCTTTTTTACGACGTTGTAATCCGTGTTACTCTTTTCTGAAACTTCTGTTTTATTCGAGGAATGACCGATTCCTGGGCGACGTGTCTCTGCAAATAATAATAAGGCTTAAGCCTTACATAATATTTCGTAATAAACGATGCAAGCATCGCAATACTTGAATTCCAATTGATTGATATTAAAAAATTTAAATTTATGTTATTTAGCAAAAATTTTTTTTATATTAATTGTTTCATGTTGTTTAGGTGTTTGCGTCATATATAAAATAAACAAGTATACAAGAAAAGAAGGATTTTGTTGAAATATTCAAAATAATTAGCGAGAGATACAAATCTAAAAGTAATTTTGTTACACTATCAAAATTATGTATAGGACATTGAAACTGGTTGTTATACAATGTGTGTTAAAACTTTTTGTAACACTGCTCTCATGCTTGAGTTTTCTACATAATTATTTTGATGATCGAACAAAATTATTTTCAGATCTGTGTATCTATCTAAATTGTCAGAGATTTGAACAAAAAGGAACCAATGTTTTTCCAAGAAATGGTTCTATTCAAGTGTGTGTTCTATTGTTTAAAAAGAAATTTAAAAAATAAAAGAATTTAATCTTACAATGATTTATAAAAAAAAATATATATACACAAATATTTTATTTAAAAAACGATAATTACCAATCTTGATGCGATCATATTTGTATTTTATGTATTCATATACTTTCTTATTTACTATTTCTTTTGTGTTCTTATTTTTACCAGTGCAATAAATGATTATAAATAAGTTGGTGATCAAATAGTTATGACATAATTAAAAAATTTATACATAAAAACATGTTTTTTTACTTGATTTTACCATGTCAACGATTGTTGCGTTAAACACTATTACAGTAGTAGACATCGCTCATTGGGCAGACATCTAGTGCGGCCGCGTCTACTTGCCTGATCCATTGACCTTTACTACTTACTCTGTGAAAAGAGATTTCGAAACATAAAACATTTTTCACATTTTATTCCACGAATTATACATACCGATATATAACTTTTCTCATTAATAAAAAAAATAATCTTTTCTATAATAAACATTTTTATTTTTATTAAAAAAAATTTAAGTATTACGCAGAATATAATTTTCTCAAACGTAAAACGTTTTGTTCAATAATTGACATATAATTTCTGTAAATGTCACGGCTGCATATAAACGTACCCTTTTCAAAAGAAAAGACGGTGACGATAATGACGTATTATAAAAAGACAATTCTTTTTATTGCGAACTGCCAATCATGAGTGAAATGAAGACATTCCGAAGATGAAGATGATAATTACCATATTTTTACGATTTGCAGACTAATAGTCGTAATAATGATCTCTTTTTCATATCGTCAACATTAAATGCGTCGCACATAGCCGAAGGTCGTCTTACGTGCATGCGTGTATTACATACATACATGCGTGGCGTGTGTTGCGTAAAGACGGCGACAGGGGCCCGGTGCGCGTAACAACAGGCCCGACTTACGTAATAGCGAACGCTGGATGGATTGGGCCCCAACATGACAGCCGACCGATTCGATGACATTGATCGACGCACATCCAGAGTTCGTCGCTTTTACTTGATGCGCACATGCCACCCAGTTTTTGTGGCATACGTGCGACCTAAGATACGTCATCAATTAAGATATATTGACTGTCTCGTCCAGCGGTCTCTTATCATTTCGGCCAATTACACTTTTTTACTTCGTGTTTTTCGGTTAGAATAAATGCCAGTATTTACAGTCGATTCTTATTTAAAACCGTTTTAAGTATTAAAATGTCATAAATCCATCACAGGCCAGTATTCGCAGCCCGTTCTTATTTCAAGACCGTTTTAAGTAATGTCTTAAGATGCTAATACGATTGCTCAGATTGATTTGTATACCTACTTAAGATAGTCTTAAATGTAAGAACGGATTATGAATATTGTCCAAAATAGACGTCACAGACGTCAATCGCAGAAATTTTATGAAAAAGTATTGTTAGATTAGTGAAAAATTGAAACGAATAGTATAGTATAGAATATTCGATTTATGGGTTTTCTAATCATTTTCAATAATTTTTTCGCGCAATTCTAGTAGTATTTACGTTTCGAAACAGTCCGAAGAAATTGACCAATTGCAGATGACCAATATCATTATTTTTCTCTCTCTCTCTCTCTCTCTCTCTCTCTCTCTCTCTCTCTCTCTCTCACACACACACACACACACAATTGATTGTAATTGATCAGTTTTTATAAAGTTTAAGGCTTACACTTATTGTGTTTCGATACTAAGGAAACAGTCGGAAAGAAACGAGATAATGCGTATATATAAGTAACTCATGGCAAACAATTTATTCTAGTTTTTGTCGTCAATGATCTTAACAAATAATACGCACGGAAAAAAAAAACACAGCTGAAAACTTTACTGATTCAGCAAATCTACCGTCGTAATATACAAACAGTCAGTTTTCTATGTTAAAGTAGCAAAATTTTGACAGCTTATATATATATATTATATATAGCTTATATATAATAACATTAGCGATTTGTTAAACCATCAAATCTTCTTAGTTACAGATGTTGAATTCGCGCAGTAAGTTATAGGTTTGCTGTTACCACCCAATTAATTATTTTTTTTTCGTGCGGGCAAATAATAATTCGAGGTAGATAGACGAGTGGATAGTTTACGTCAACGCGGCGGCGGGGGTGTAAGTCAGGCCGTTGAGGGGTGCAGTGTAGGCGAACGGCGAAGAGTACGCGGCGCTATATGCGGCGTAAGGGTAAGCGGGGTACGTGGCTATCGCCCTGGCAGCAGCTGGAAGACCGATCAATTGGGGGTTCGCGACTTGTTGTCGCTCGATCTGTCCAGCCGTCGGCCCGACGATCCGTGCGGATTGTTGCGCGGTCTGTTGTTCCTGCTGCTGCTCTCGTGGTTGATGCTGCTGGATCTGTAATTTCGACGACCGTCTCTGCTGCTCCTGCAGCTGGTGCTGTTGCTCCTGCAGCCGCTGCAACTGTTGCAACTGTTGACGCTGGATCTCTTGCTCGCGCGTCGTTGGTCTCGCTTTTAAGGGACCCGACCGGGTGTCGAGCACCTCGACGTCGGAATCGGGCCCGACGGCGGGGATCGATGGTGCTGGGGCAACGGCGGGTGCTGTCGGGATGGCAACTGGAGTGAACGCGGCCGGTCTGAGCGGTAACACTGGTGCCGCGATGGCGGCGACCACCGGTTCTCTGCTGACGATCGCGTTGAAGCCGTTGATCGGGTCCGCGGTGTACTCGACGATGCGACGCGTACCGTCGGCCTCGATCAAGCTGTAACTACCGCGCACGACGTCGCCGTTGCGGGTCTCGTACTGAGCCTTGGAGTCACCGGTCACCGCGTCTTGCACGTCGTATGCAAAGCTGTACTGCGGCGCTGGATCGAACTCCTCCAGCTTCGCCAGAGGCACCACCGTTGCTGCCGCTGGCACGGCAGGCACCACTGCCCCTCGAGCGAGCACCGCCAGTCCCAGAATGAAAAAGAGCTGAAAATTAATGTGAAATCAGCAACACTCCAATTACCTTATCGAATCTCTGGGATCTTAACAGAAAGCTAGCTTATAATCTTAAGACGCAGTGTCTTATGACTTAAGTCTTATGTCTTCAGTAACGCACAAGAACTATTGTATGACTTATGCCTTATAAGTGTATAAATACGAGGTGCCTTTAAGATGTAAGTCGTAAGACAGTTCTTGTGCGTTACTAAAGACATAATGGACCTTCTACAATAAGTCATTAGTCGTAAATCAGAAGTTAAAAATTGACGACTGTGATTGCTTAATTTTTAGCTTCTGACTTATGACTAATGGTTTATCATAGAAGGCCCATAAGATTTAACTCATAAGACACTGCGTCTTAAGATTATAAGTCATGATCATTCTACAATAAGCCATTAGTTATAAATCAGAAGTTAGAAGTTGGAGAAATTGATGAATGTGATTGGTCAATTTCCAGCTTCTAACTTCTGATTTATAACTAATGGCTTATTGTAGAATGCATGTCAACTTTTCTGCTACAGCCCTAATGGATCTTCTACAATGAGCCATTAGTCATAAATCAGAAGTCAGAAGGTAAAAATTGACCAATCACAGTCGTCAATTTTTAACTTCTGACTTCTGATTTATGATTAATGGTTTATTGTAGAAGGCCCATAAGAGCGGGAGTACCGAGTCTTGCATAATGCATAAATAAACTAAGAAGAGTCCTTTTCCTTCCTTTCCATGAAAGAAAAGATTCTGATTAGTTAATTTTCTTATACTTTATACATTATACGTTCTGCAAAGATCTGTTCTCCAGCCTTAAAACACTTTAGCATCGATGCGTATTTTATAGTAATGTTACACAAGGTCTGCGTTCGGTTTTGACGTTCACGTGCTGTAAACTTCATTCCATCTTTTTTCCGTAGTAATGTACGACGTAATGAGCAGTAAAGATAGAACGAAGCTACAGCACGTGGGAGTCCAAATCGAAGTCGAGATTTTTTACACACATGCGCGGCCATTGATATTCGATGATAATTAAAACTCCTTAAACAAGCGTGGGAATCGATTACAAAATACAGTCTTTCGGACACAGTCATTTCAAAGGATAGCTGAAAAGAAAATTCTAATGCTCTTCCAGCTTCTCTCTTTTCTCCCTTACCGTGTCGACCATGTTTGCGCGCGAGAGGACCGCCAGAAGAGGACTGATGCCTCGGGGTAAGATTGTCCGTACTTTTATACGTCGTCGCTTTTGTGTCATCTGACGACGATGATGTTCCCTACAGCCACCTACGCCCCACCTAATCATTGCCTCTGTCTCCTTCTTTCTTTTTCTATGTCTTTTTCTCAAAAGCCGTACGGTGACCTCCGTGATGATCATTGCGATGTACAAGGAGGTCCGACCTGCGGTTTGTTGTACCAATGTACGCGCGCTTATACGTTTCTTCATATCACCGCTGCCCGTTCGTACACGCGACTTGGATGCCAATATGCCAAAGACTCGAGACCTCGAGGTCGTTCGACGAAATCGTGGAACTGTGTACCCCGAACACGCTGCAAGACCCTCATTCTCTTTTTCCTCGCCTTTCTAGCTGTCGATAGGATAATTATATATACGTAGGAGAAACAATACATACGGAGTCTATAGCTTAATCTACAATGTGCTCTTCGCTTCCTATGGCCGGTATTCAAGTTGGTTCTTGTACTTAAAACATTCTTAAGTGCAGTCTTAAGATCACAAGCTAATCACAGAACCGTATTATCTTAAAACGATCTTAAAATAAGAATTAATTAATATTATATGGTCTGTTTCTTATTTTTTACTAAACTAACAATTAAAAAGTGAGCGAATGGCAGTTTTAAGACGCGATAATTAATGAGATGTAAAACAAATTATGTTTGAAAATATAATTGCATTAATTACCGCGTATCAAAACTCTCAATTGCCCGTTTTTTAATTAATTATTAGTTTAATATCTCGAGAGCTCAATCTGTATTTTTCTTTATTTATTTACTTTTTACTACTTTTTGCTTTTTGTTTTTTATTCTGTTTTGTCGTTTTCTGAGATAGAAGTTAATTTAGAAGGACTTAGGAAGAAACAAGAAGCACGTGACAAAAAAACACGATTATTGATCAAACGACCGCAAAAAAAAGAGGTAAAAAGCAAGAAACAGGAATCAAAAAGCATATTGTACAGATTAGGCTTTAGACTTTAGAAGCAAGATGCAACTCATATATGTATATTCGAATTGAAGGAAATTTTGTCGACAGCAAATTATGTGACATTTCGACAGGAAAATGCTAAGAGCAATTTAAAGACGATGACATACAAAAAAGAAACTGCATAATATTAAATATAGGGTTGAGAAATAACGCGTTACATTTTCGTTACTTTTTTTTTGGTTACGATTTAGTAACGCCGTTATTTTTTTTATTAGTAACGAAAAAGTAACGGTGTTACATTTTCTTCAGTAACGAGTAACAAAATTGACCTCGTTATTCTTACATCGTTACTTTTTTGTGGGTCACAGCCATCACGGATAATAAGATTATAAGTAATTAAATAAACAAAAGACGTTACTTTTTACCTATTTTTGTTTAATTATCCTCGCGTTTTAAGAACACTAAAAACTAAAATATCTATTATATAATAAAATAGCACCACAGAATTAAACATAAATATGTAAAATATTAATAAAAGATAAAAATTTTTAAAGACAAATATCTTCCTAAATATCTTATGTTTAATTTATATTCTGTCTTAGCATTCTGTTCTAGAAGCCTGTTTTAATACCTAAAAAAAATGTAGTTATATACAGGAAACAGGTTTATTCGTCGATTTTGGTATTAGGGTCATTTGATGCAGTTTTGTATGAAATAAATGAATTTGACAGAATTCCTTATCTCAATAATCATCAATTTTAATCAATCTCGGTTCGCCGGACTGAACGACACTTATTTTTCTGTCAGATTCGTTCATTTCGTGCAAAAATGCGTCGAATGACCCTAATTTCATCAAAATCGGCGAGTAAGCCCGTCTCTTCCATAATTACAAAAAAAAAGTAACGAAAAGTAAGGATCTTTTATTGTTACTTTTAAGTTACTTTTTAGAATCGGTAACTTTTTATTGCAAATAATGGCAGTAACGCGTTACTTTTAAGCAACTTCCCAATCCTGCTTAAATATATTTCCATAACATTTTTTCAATATATGATTGATAATGTTTTTTTTTTAAATATAACTCTTCTATAATAAACTTTTCTGAGAGGAAGAAGTGTTTTTAAAATTATCAGCTCCAATGTTTGGAAAAGAATGAACAAACATATTGCCTATGTATACACCTATGTATAAACCTGATATGAGCGAACAATTGATAACCGAAATACGCGTAATCGTACTCAATGCACGTATTTATGTGTGTTATGTGCCAATATGTCGAATACAGACAATCTATCAAGGCCGTTCGACGAAAGCACGAAGACGGCCACACATCCTGCAATCGGTTGAATTCTATTATACATTCAGTAGGAGCGACGCTAACACGAGTTGTGCTAACACAAATCGACGTATACTATTGCGTTAATTACCATTCGCGTAACCGTTAATCTCACTTATATTTATACAATTCTCACTTATATTTCATAGCAATAGTTGTGTACCGTCTACATATGATCTTATCTTGAATGTGTCAAACATATCTCAATTAAAAATGGACAAACGTGAAGATTTTTCTGTAAACATTTTTGCAAATCTAACATTTTCTTAAAGATTAAAACTATACGTATTTGATTTTAAAATGTATACTTGAAGTTACTTCAAGCAATCAATTTCGAATCAACAAAAACGTATTCCACTTTTAATAAAATAATTTATGAAGCAATAATTTAAATTATTAAAAAAGTTATGTACAAAAGATCATTTTTATTTCTTTTACTTTTTTTATTATTGTATAATCGAGATCACTTTTATTTATTTTCATTTAAAATGTATATTCGGATAATAAATTAAAAGCCGTCATCAACGAACTTGGCAATCTATATGATATAAAATCGTTCATCAACTAATACGTTATTAATTTTTGGCAAGAAAGCAATGACCTTTTTTGGAAAAAAAAATTTTTTTTAAATCTTATGATTATACAAAGGATATCAAAAGTTATATGAATCTTATTTCACTATTTTACTTGAAAGATTCTTTTATTTATCTCTCATTTTGCTATTATATAACTAATTATATCTGCAATAATACATATTTTTTAGAGATTCCTATGTAAAATATAAATATCACAGTATAATGTACAATATATTCCACATAAACTTGTCGCTTGTAAGTTTTGCGCCGATATATGTGTGTATATATAATCTGATAATCTGTAAACTTTCACAGTTATATTCACAAAGGAGAGTTTATGATCCGATTCGCGAAATTTACATGCCATTACATAATTTAGCAGCTTTATTCGCATAACATTAATTCGTTCGTTATAACTTGTTTTGTATAAACTCACGAAAAATTTATGAAAATACAAATTTATGAAGCACGCTTTGCGATAACGTGCAATTAGAAAAAAGGTCGACACTCTAATCTAGTGATCTACTGATAGCAAAGTCATTATGTCAAGATAAAATTAATTCGCACACAGTTTGTAAAAAAATCTTTAATAAAAATCAATACATTAACAATTAACAATTCATGCAGCAACATCAATACATTATATATAGTGTGACTAGTTTTCGTCCTGTGGACACGGAAAAAAAGGTTTTACTAAAATATCTAAAAATTTAGCTAGATCTGAAATATTTATGTATAGATCTGAAAATAATTATGTAGAATGATAAAACTGGTTGCTAGAATGACAAAACTATTTTGCAGCATTGCTTATCATGCTTGAAATTGTTGCTTATTTAGATTGTTCAGTCCGGAAAACAAGTTGATGTTACTTGTCATTATTTTAATGTCATTTTAATATTCAAGACATCATTTTGACATCAAAATAACGATAAATGACGTTTGCTTATTGGGAATTGGTTTTTAATTTATATCTACTAGCTAAATTTGTAGACACTTTAGTAAAATTGTTCTTTCCGTGGATTGTTATGAACAGTCATTATCACATCTCTTAGGGCTGATAAACGAGTGAAGGCGGGGCGACCTCAACGACGGGTTTCACCACTGCCAGGGGCTCCCGACGGACCACAGCGTTGAATCCATTCACGGGATCAGCCGTATACTCAACGATTCGCCTGGTACCATCAGCCTCGATGAAACTGTAACTGCCACTGACGATGTCACCATCTCTGCTCTCGTGCTGACTTTTCGCATCACCAGTCAATGTATCCTGAACATTGTAGGCGTAACTGTATTGAGGATGAGGATCGTAATTTGTGGCATCAACTGCAGCAACTGGAAAAACCGGTTGTGCGGCCAAGGTAGCCGGAATGGCTGGTACAGCTGGTACAGTTGAAACAGCTGGAACAGCTGGAATGGCCGGAAAAGCTGATGGTATAACCGCGCCTCTGCATATCGCAAGCACTGCTACAGCCAAGATTGTTAACTGTAATATAATATCAAGTATTAATATAACGGCGTCTCTCAAATATTAAAAGAATATACCCCCCTACAGTACAAACCCAGCAAACACAAAGATATATGTAACATATCTGTTAGTTGTAATTTCCCACTCAACAATAAATTGTAATTTGACACACGTGTATTATATTACAGTTATATTGTTGAGTGGGGAAATTACAACTAACAAGTATGCTACATGTAACTTTCTGTTTGCTGGGAAGTTGCATAAAAGTTGCAGCAACATCGCATTTTGCAACGATATTGCTGCAAATTCTGTGCTGTATGGATAAAGTATAATAGCTAAAGACTGCACGAGAAATATTCTAAATTTATAATCGATTAAATTGAATTTGATGTGTAAAATTAGTGTGCGATCCTTTAGCATACCTTAACGGCCATTTTCTGTTTAATATGGTTTTGTGTACCGGTAAACGTGTCGCAAACAAGACTGACGTTTGGACAAGCGGTGACAAACGTATTTATAGCAGCATCGGGGTGGTCAGCGGCTGCTCGCCACATCCCTCATTGCATCGCAAGCAGTCTTCGAAGTAGCATAGTACGTGATGCGATGACAGAAGTTTCGCTCTCGATTTATGACTCGCCGATATACATACCGTGTGTACCGGACGAGGAAGAAAGTTCTGAGCGCCGAATTGGCCGGTTTATTAAATTCCTCACGGCATCGCTTAATCGCGCTCACCATTCACGGAATGTCCCGGGAGCCGCGCGTTCCGATGCAGTCATGGAATGTTAATTTTATTGCATAAACGCTCTGAGCAAGTGAATACATCACGCTCGTCGTTGTTTTTTTTTCGTAAAACGAAATTATTTAAACATTTTAAAGTACCTTTTTTTTCTGTAAAAGTTATATAGCATTTATAACGCGAGGCGTTAAGAGTGGTGCAAGAACGAGTTTCGAACATAATTGTATGGATTTTGACGAGGGCGTACGTGTAGTGTATAATTTCGGCCACAATTCCATACCGCAATTTCAGCGGGAGATTTTCGAAAGCAGATTTAAAGATAAAAAAAAAACGACATATGTGATTTAACGCTGAGCGTTTTTCGAGATCGGGAAGATTACGCGGCTGCGAGGCGTGAGGAAACGAGATGAACGTGACCAATAATTCTCCTATGCAACAGCACACCGGCGGTGCTTTCACCCTTGCGTAATTCTGGCGATTTTGGTACTGGCTATAAGTATAACGCTTCCGCCACGTCGCGAGGTGACGGACCGGGAATATCAATAAATGTGAGGATGATTCATTTTCGAAGAAGAGTCCCGTATGTTTGTCTTCGTATGAGGACGCGCGATACGATCGTCGCGTTCGTTAATTTTTGCGACAACATTTTGGGGATTAATCTTCAACTGGCGTTCTGAAAAAAATATTACATGGAAGCTCTTTAATCCATAACTAGTGTATATATGAGTCCAATGGATCCATCCAGTTAAGAATTAAAGAACTATTCCACGATAGCGTGAAATCGTAATGGCGAGAGCATGGAATCTTGCATAATGCATAACACATAATGCATAAAAAAATGAACCAATCAAAGTCCTTCGTTTCCTTCCTTTCCATGAAATAAAAGATTTTAATTCTTTATTTATTTATTATTAATTTATTAATATTATTAATCTCTTTTTATTTTATCTTTGAAATAATTGTCCGAATAATAATTCGAAAAATTGTATTTACGTATGTATTTAAAAATCCCAGGGAGTTCCCAAGACTCCACCTTTGCGTTATAAAAAACGCAATGTATCGATCGCCGCCGAGGAGATTATGGATTCGTTAGGCACGTGAATCATCTTCGTCTCATCTCTTCTTCCTTCATAAACAAAAATGAGTCATTCAGTATATATATAAATTAAGGAAGACGAGCGTTGATCATGACCGTGAAACGACTCCGCAAACCACTCTCGCTTACGTAACGTGTTATCGCTGATGCTTCTTCGTCTCGTCTTTCTCTATCTCGAAAAAGATTCCGTATGTTACGGATTTATATAATTAATTGTATGAGTTATATTACATAAAAAAACCAAATGGATTACGTCAAACATATGACACAATATAGAATTACGTCAAACATATGATACAATTTAGAATGTTCGGAAATTACATCCTTTTATAAATATTTAGAGGAGAAAAGAAATTAATGATATATTGGGATTTTTTATAAAATTATATATATGTATGCGTTCTTTCAATGGAAGCTTTAAAAGAGGCTATTTCTTGTGGCTAGAGATTTTAATATTATGTCACAGCATTACTATTATACACATATGATAAATACATGTTCGCATTGATACTTTTATTCAACATCAAAACAATTAAGATCATTTATTCATACATGAACGGGTAATTTAAATCTTATCGATTAATGTTGCATATAAAAAGAAGACGCGTACATCCTGCGCAGCACAAGCTTCAATCGGTGCAATAAGTTTATGTTCTTTGTAGCTGAATTCTTTTCCCTTCTCTTCAATCTTTAATTAAATATCTATTTCATTTAAAGCGTAGAAAATATAAAGTAATGCAGCTACAAAGAACAGACCTAATATGTGCATGTAAATTTACAAATGTTAACGATATTTCCACTTTATGAGCAGTGCATATAATATGAATAAGCAAACGCTATTACGTATTACAAATAATAGTTTTAAGTAACTTTATCGTTATTGAATACTGTTCACATCTCCATATGTCGCGAAACAATAAGATTATCTTGACTAATGCACGCCTCTGTCAATTCATTTAACATCAAATACTGTTGCGTTGATTCAATGTCTAACAAACAAAATTGGTTATGTATGTACAATTTGTCGATTGTTCGATTACATTAAAAATAAACTAATATAGCAATGTGCAGAGATACATATATTAAATGTAATAATATCAGTTTTTTTTTTGTATATATCGCCAGCTGCCAAATCTAACAGTCATACCTAATTAAATTTCCGTTTTTTTATGCAAATTGTATAATAAAATTAAAATTAAACAAAAATTATACAAAATATAAATCAAACTACTTATAGAATCCATTATTTTTATATCATTCGAACATTAAAATAATCGAGAAATATAAGAATTATTAGTCATAATGTTTTGATCTGTTTGAATGATTCAAGGCCGGTGTTCCACCTTTTGATAAATTTTACCTATTAGGTAAATCTGGCAATCCATGCATGTGATTAGGTAATCTTGCTACTTATCCAACAGGTAAAATTTACCAAAAGGAACAATCGGATTCTCAAAGTATTACAAACATTGCAAGTTCAATCGTATAATATAAAAATTATTGTATTAGCATGTTACTATTTAAAATTGAATTTCTATAGTAACAGATTTAAAAAGTAGAGCATATATTTTTCTTATTCATGGCCATGTTATCTTCTGACGTTTTTTCGGTAGAGATTCCTGAAAGATTCAAATACATCTGCTATTATTCACTTACAAATTAAGATTATTGTAAAACTTATAAAATATTACATCTCAATAGAAACAAATAGTCTTTGTAAATATTTCATTCTGTAAACTTACATGTTGAATAAAAAATCTTATCTCAGGAATCCTATTTGTAGAAAACTCAAACTTTATCTAAAGATAAGTAGACTCTTAGTTTTACCTCTCTTACCTTATCTAGAGTTATTTGACTATATCTGAGTTATCTGAACTATAAAGGATTAAGATGTGATACCTCGTTCTGTTCTCCATAATTGCGTTTATAAATTCCATTGCACCCAATTTCTTTTGGCGTTGAACATAATCGAATCTTCTTGCTGACTGACTTCTGATCGTTAAAAGGAGGTTTTGTATCTGTCTGAGATGTTTGAAATATCCTCTTATTTCCTTTATTAAAGTCTGCAGCTAAACTGTACGTATCATTATCACTAAAAGAAAGACAAATTTAATGTTAACATAGTAAAATATTTATTCTTTATTATCTTTATTTAAGATATTCTTTACCTAAACAATATATTCTTTACATAAAAAACTTACCTTATAACTGTAATGGAGTTCTCTGATATCATATCTACTATATTCTTTGTATTTCCATGTTGCCGCTGAGGTAAAGGCATTGCAACTCGTTTGTACATTTCCAGCAATTCACTTTTACATAATTTTTCAAACTTAAGAATCTCAATGCAACTCTATAACGAAAAAAGATATGAAGATATAATTGAGATATCATAAAATATGTCTGGAATTTAAATGTCAGTGATACGCTTTTATTATAAATTATTCCTATAACAAATATCATCATTAATTCATAACGAACATACATCATCAGTTTTTTTCATTTTATAAATAATAATTTAGAGTATGTTTTATTCTGGTTTATAAATTTATATATATAAATATAATTCATAAAATCTACCTTGGATGACATTTAACCTAAATTTGTGTCATGTTAACGTTTGTTGAAGTCTGAAATAATTCAGACAATGACTCTCACGTACATTAAATTATCTTCCAATAAAATTGGATAAGAAAACAGAGAAGAATCACAGATAAGAATCGAGAGAAGTTTGTAAACATGCCTAACCTATGCGACAACTTACGTTCTTCAGAATCTCGCGGAGCTGATGCTCTGATAGCGATTCCGGGTGCGTGAGCTCATACGAGTCCAGTTTCCACATCGTCTGCGCTTCCTTGGGTCAGAAGAAGAAATCACAAATAGTCATCTCACGACGGTCATTTGATACAAGCAGCGCAATTCAATTTCAAGCGTTATCGCCCATCGTTATCACTTCCCACTATCGGACGTATTGTACGCTGCGCTGCGAGTCATATGGGAAAACAGACAGTTGTTGCAAATTTCCGATTAATCATCGTTAATCATCAAACTACAATTATAATTTGCTACATAATAATAATTATTCAAGATATATGTTGCGCATTTGGAGAGAATATAAAAAAAAAAAACGAAATATAATATATTTAAACATATAAATGCGGTCTCTTTTTCAGCGTTAAAATTATCAAAAAGATTGGTCCAATGTAGACAGAAAAATGTGGAAACTTCATATCTGAGATGTTTAAAATAATTAATAATTATATAAAAATTATTCCAAAACGTAAAATTTCAGGAATTCTTGGAATTGTGTGATTTTCAACATTTTTTAAAATTAAAACCACTTCTATGTTAATTGCATTTTTTTTTTAATTTAAATATTTTGTTGATTTTTTTGAATACTCGATGCGGTTCGAAAATCCAGAATTGAAAAAAAAATTTTGAAATTGCATTTAATGCCACTTCTTATATTGTTATAGTTAATTATGTTACTCTGATATCTTATCGATTTTTTTGAAATTTTTATCGATAATAGAATTTGATAATTATAAGTAATATTATAAGTATAGATCTTGATAATTGTGTAATATTATAAGTATGTAGACCTTGACAATTATATAACAATAGATGAATTTATACAGACAGTCGACAAAATCACTGGCAAATTTATCAGTCATAAATAATTATCGATTTTGTAATATTATTATACCAATAAAATTTAAATTCACAAAAGTCGACTAAATATCAAAATAACATAATCAAACAAAAGATGATTTATTGAATTCTCCATTCAAAAGGTACAGTTAAAGAATAAAAGAAAAAGTACATTTTCTCTAATCATATGTAATAGATGATGTAGAGTACAATGCAGTGCATTAATTCGCTGGGTCGTAGTAGCGGCCCGATTTACCAAAAATAAGAAAATGCAGTACTAAAAAGTTCATAAAAAATTCTTAGAGTTCTATGAGAAGAAAATAAATGATTTTTATCTCTTGCAGTTTTTCTGTAAAGTTGATAGTATTTGAGTAAAAAATAAACATCGATAAGTCGGGCCGCTACTATGACCCAGCAAATTAATGCACTGTAGTGTACGTAGGATATGCAGTGTGTCTATTTTTTTATTTCTATACTCTCTGAACTGATGCACACTGTACAATAAAATAAATTGAAATGAAACAAACCTATATTTGTTTTGCTTCAACTTATCACATGATAGGCCTGTTCTTTTTGGCTGAACTTTTGCACCAGTTCATTTCTGAAGAGAAAAGGAAAAAAGATGAATGGATGCAAAAATTCAGCCAAAAAGAACAGACCTCTGGTCTGTTTTCTGTTCCTGCACTAGACTACACTAGAGCACTCTCTTTCTCATTTTCAACAAATATCAAACTTATCTCACTTCAAGTTTTAAAAGTGTACACTAGTTCAGTCACAGAAAACCAGTTCAGAAAATGCAGTGCAGGAAAGTTTCGATAATCTATAATTCTATTCGCATATGTTAAATCTATTTTTACTAGACAGTTCCGGGACTATCTTGATGGTGAATTTGTGCAAAAAGGATTATTATATGAGCAATATTTTCGGGATTCCTCATCGAAGACTTGGTACGCCAAACTCCTTCTGAAAAGGGAAGAAATCATTTTAATCAACCGCATCAGATCTGATCATTATAATCTGAATACAAGTCTGTTTCGCAAGAATATGATCGATTCAGAGGCTTGTCCTTGCGGGGACCCCCGCCAAGATATTAACCATGTAATTTTTTACTGTTCTATCATTTCTCCAATGTCAGCCAAATTCACTTCATTTATTGATAAAACTTTCCTGAACACTCCTAGAGATATCTTTCCCTTATTTAAGAAATCTGCTAAAACGTGCCACCTTCTACTGGCTTTCTTCAAAGCCACCAACCTCCGCATTTGAACTTCTCCCGCCAGGCCTGCATTTCGCGAGCGCTCTCGGAGGAGGGTAATAAAACAGTGATATCAATGGAGTACTTCCATGTTACTCACGATTTAGTTCTCGCTACTCGCCGCTTGGGACGGCTATCTTGTTACTGGCCGTATCGACTTCGTGGTAGGAGTCGGGACCATTCACTAGCAAAGAAGTACTCGCATATGTGTGTGATACATGCTGCGTACTGCACGCTGATACACTGAACTATGTGCACATTTAAAAATGGCGCTTCTTAGTCGTATTAATTCAAATACCATTTCGTTATTAAATCACTATTATTGCAAAAAGTTCATAATGGGCACAAGTAGATTAAAATCGCACAATTGCTTCTCAACATCAATTACCAAGCAACATAAGAACAGTAAACAAGGTAAGTCACATGATAAGTTCATCGTATAACCTATAAGCTTACAAATAATATATCATAGAGCAATAATAATATTAGAACGAAATATTAATATGAAAATGAGAGATTACAGATACTCAAACGAACTTTTATGCCATAAGGTTATTATAAAATAGGCAGAGTGATAAAAACTATACTTAAGATCAAGAAATTTTGTGCTACATAACCTGAAAAAATAGATCAAAGGCACATTAAAGTTCATCACCCGGTGATGAAAAGCGAAAAAAAAATATAACAAGGCTTGTTTTTTCTAGTTGAATTTCTTGGTCAATTCATCTTTTACTTTTCTTTTCATATTGGAAAGAAAAAGAAAAAACTGTGCAAGAAATTCAACTATAATAAACAGGTCCTTTACATAGTCCTTTGTAAAACAATTTAGTAGCTTCAACGTAATTGTTGAGAATGCAGCATGAATTAATATTCTCTAACTAAACCGATCTTTCTCATACATCACAGTTATTATCTGTTTTTACACTGAGATCTATATCTGACAATTGCAATTACAGAAAGCACACACGAGACTAAAATCATTAAAAGAAGAGATCAGGCTTGTCGAAGCTTATTGATACAAGTACATTCGTCGAATTCATACAAGGATCTCTATAATTATTGTTTGCAGTTTGGAGACATCTCAAGTATGCATCACCATATAAATGATCAACAAGTATGTCAGTTATTGTTTAATATATATAAATTAAATGTAACATTAATACATAATATTAAATAATGTGTTAGAAAAATATATTGTGATTAATTTTAGAATTATATTTTGGTTGAGTTTACAAACATAGTATCGATAAAAAAAATTATGTCATCTGCTTCCTTTACGAAAGAAGACTTTACGCCTGTAAAATCCTCAATATTATGGTTTCGTAAAGGACAGATTAGATTACAGAAAAGTAATCAGAAAAAGGTATCTTTATTTGTGGAAAATAATATGTTGCCTAACGAAGAGAAGAGAACAAACCTATTAAATGATGCTAAATCGGTAAGCTCATTTATGTTAGTTAGGATTATTCGAAACATTTAGCCTTATAAAATTGTAACCTTTGCAGATATCAGGACAAATAATAATTCTCTATGAAATGATGAAATTAACCGATTTAGAAATAAGATTGAGGTTTCACACTGCTCACCATTTAGAGCAATACTTTTCTAGGTTATTTGAGAATATAAAGGTTCTGCCATTTGGTTCCTCTATAAATGGTTTTGGAAGAAAAATGTGTGATCTTGATTTAGTTCTTGTTCCCGACATTAAAGAAGTAAATATATAAGTAATGTTCAAATTAACTAAATGTTCACATACTTAATCCTACTTACTAATGAATTGTAACATTTGTAGGATAATATCACGAGTAGATTGGTATTTCACTCAAAGTTTAATAATAATAGCAAAAGGTATGAAACGAAAGACTTTTTGGGAATACTCGCAGACACCATGCAGTATTTTATCCCCGGAATTCTTAATGTCAGAAAAATTTTGCATGCTCAAGTACCTATAATTAAATTCTGTTATAACTACACACAAACTGAATGTGACTTAAGTGCAACAAATATGTAAGTCAAAACATATTTCAATTTTACTTCATGTAGGATTTGTTTTTTTTTTATAATGAACCCTTAACTACATCAATAGGTCATTTGGATTCAAAACGTCAAATTTTATACAATCTGCAGTTATTAGTACTATGAGATTCTGAATTGTAGGGAAAAAAACTTTCAACCTTTCCTCGATCAATCGTCGAAGATTTATTTACGTTTTATAATTGAAATAGAATATGTTAAAACTGAATGTAATTTTCACAGCTGTAGTTAGAGGGCTAAAAAGACAAAAACATCAATACTGATCTCTTCTACAGGACTGCTATATATATGACTGAATTACTAAATTTGTATGGAGAGATGGATTGGCGAGTAAGACCGCTTGTTATAGCAATACGAGCATGGGCAAAGAGTCAGAAATTAACATGCGACTCACCAGGACATTGGATAACAAATTTTCCCCTTACGTTGTTAGTGCTATTCTTCTTACAACAAAAGAAAATATTGCCGTCCTTACAACTATTAAAGTTGTATTCGAGTAAGTCACATAGATCGTAAACAAAAGAATTACATAACGTCTGATTAATAAATTGTATCTTCTTTTCTTTTATACAGCTCACGATGACGTTCGTTATACAGAAAATGGCGTCGATTGTACCTTCCTGCGGGATATTAACAAATTGCCTGCTGATTACAAATATAAAATAAATCAGGATAGTCTGGAGACACTTCTATACGATTTCTTTGAGTATTATTCGACATTCGATTTTCAAACGTACGGGATATGCATCCGCGAGGGTGTGCAGATTAGAAAACCATCACGATCGGCGCTCCATATTACCAATCCTTTAGAAACGACATTGAACGTTTCCAAAAACGTAAATGTCTGTGAATTGAATCGCATAATTTCGAAGATGCACGACGCGATCTACATGTTAGAAACCAACGAATTCGGAAGTAACAACTGGGGTATCATATCATTATTGAAAGCAAATAATGATAACGAAAATCTAAAGAAATCGAATACTACGAAAGGACAAACAAAGAATATCGAAGAATGCTCGGAAGATTCCTACAAAAATTCCTATGAAATTTCTGACAAGTTCGAAGTTAG